ATTGCATTATGATAATTTTGGTTTTCCGGTGATAGTTAGATGGTCATAAGACATTTTCAGCACCCTGTCTTGGAATATTATTTGAAGTAAATCGGAGGCTTAAACAAGTGTAACTATTGTTGTGGAAAGATTTTTCTATAATCACATTCCTTTCATAACATAGCACGCCTGTTGTCACAAATTGTGATTCTTTTTTCTTCCACTTGCTGCTATGGGGATCAAGAGATCCAAGACTCAAGAGGGACTCTTAGGTAATAATTTGGTCAGTACGTGACAGGAAACTTCCTTCAAACCAATGGCTACCTTGGGTTTTCGTATTCTCGAGAAATCTATATTTTAGTTATAAAACAACTATGCTACAATGCTTACACTTATTTTTTTATACTTTCTGGGGCTGAAATTATTGCTACAAGGATCAGTGATTTACATTTGATTTTGTGTTTAGAATCTTATTTCATGTTTATTATTATTTTCTTTCGAACATTGAATGTCTATTTCAATTGCTTTTTCTGGTTCCTTGTAACTGTATGTATTTAGTTGTGTTATGCATGGTTTTGTGCAATCAATGGCATGTACTACTGTTATTGGAATATATGTCAATTTTAGTTCATCTTGAATTGGGGGTTTTTCTTGTACGCTTGAATTCCAGATGTGATTGATTTAGATACTCTTAGGTACTATGGAGAGGAAACTTTTGCTTATCATGACTTACTCTGTAATTGCTTTCGCTGTTATTCCTTAAATTTAAACACCGAATCTATTCTTTTTTTTTTTTATCTCTGCATAAGCTTTTGTTATAGAATATTATTAGCTACAAAAAATACAATCCAAGTAACTGTTCTATGACATGTATGATGTTGACAGTCATGCTAAAGAAGAGTAATCTTTGAATTTCTTCAAGGTCAAGCTTGCTTCAGCCTGTTTGTTCCCATTAAGTCAACTGTTTCTGCAAACAGCATGTGGAGTTTTGCTTCCAGAGCTATTACTGGAGCCATCGGATTGAAGGGTGATCTTTTGAAACTGAAACCGGTTCCTTCAGAGTGCTCTGATGATGATACTTCTTTAAACAACGATAGGGAGGAGGGATTGGAGTGCCCTGTATGTTGGGAGTCCTTCAACATTGTTGAGAATGTGCCCCTTGTTTTATGGTGCGGCCACACACTCTGCAAGAATTGTGTATTGGGACTGCAGCGTGCTATTGTGAAATTTCCAACAGTAACTATTCATCTCCCATTCTTCATCTCTTGTCCTTGGTGTAATTTACTGTCCTTGAGGTTAGTCTACAAAGGAAGCATGAAGTTTCCCTGTAAGAACTTCTTTCTCCTTTGGATGGTTGAGAGCATGAATGGTGATAGGTCAAAGTCACGTTCTTCTTTCAGTGGGGATCAACCAGTCTGTTATGCAAGCAGAAATCTTCCCGTTCGCAGGCAAGCTAGCCGCATTAACAATCGACATGATCCATGTCAGCCCCTAGTAGAATCATCAAGCTTCAATCATGGCAGAGGGAATTCCATACATAATAGTTACTTGAATGTTGAAAGACTCCACCTATCGCTTCGTAAGTCTTTTGCTTTCTTTGTTCGCTTGACAGCTAAGTTCCCTTTGGTTGTTGTGTTTCTTCTGATGATCCTGTATGCAATACCTGCCAGCGCAGCCATCCTGGCCCTGTATATTCTTATCACTTTTGTGTTTGCTGTCCCCTCTTTTCTTGTGCTCTACTTTGCCTTCCCCAGTTTGGACTGGTTGGTTAGAGAAATCATCACTTGAGTTACCATAAAACCTTGTACCAGGCTCCTAATGCAAACTCACTTCCACCTCAATCTGTCGACTTCTCCTATAAGTATGTCCTCATCCCATGGTCTTATGATATTCTTGTGAACGTCCTTATCTGTGTTTCAGAATCAGTGAAATCTTAGAACATTGCTGATAAGATGTATCAGAAAGATACTTCAAGCAGTGGAGCTTTGTAGTGCAATCCCCTAATTTTTGCGGCAATAAACTGGTGATATTTTGCTTCTTTTTCTTCTCTCTTTATTGCTGTATGTATAAGAAGATGGGTGAGATGAATTGACAGCAAACCTTGTTTCTTATGTATATAGTCAATAACAAACCTAAATCTGTCATCTATGCGATGCGGTACTCAGTTGTGTTTCTAGGTAAATCTAGGTGTTTAGGTGTGTTTTTAAATAGTCTAGGTATTAAAATGTATTTTTTGGTTATCCAAAATGTGGGATACATTTTTGAGTCTCTGAGTATTTGAAGTGTATTTTAAAGTTTATGGTATTATTTTCTGGTATTTGAAAAGGTTTATTTATATTTGCATATTTCAACTCATCTTTTTGCATTTTAGGTGTCTAAATTCTATTCTAGGTGTTGTATGAACTTGAGTTCGTTTGATGCTCAAATGCGACTTTGAATATTTTAAATATTTGAATTCTGGCATCTGAAGAAGTCTATATGTTATGATACATTTTAGATACTTTTGGTAAATGTGTTTCTGTAACATGTAACAGTAGGTGATTAACCTATTCCAACGCTTGCCAATTAGTACTAGATTATGTAAGGGCTAAAGTTGAAATCAACCTTTCTCAGCCCTCTCTCGAGGGAAAGAAGATGGATAATCTTCCAATATGGAAGAATTTCATATTTGTGATAAACTCATTATGAATTTTGGCCAGCCAATAAATCCAAGAGATGTCTATGTCTTGCATGGAGGAACAAATCAATATACAGGCTAATATCTAGGGGAAGGCAAAAGTCCATGGTGCCTACCAAGCTGCAGTTCTCCATGATTCTAGCAATCATCCGTTGTCTGCATGGATCTAGTCACCAATGAAACTCCGAACCCCTTTTAACATCCTAGTAAGAGAAAGAGAATGTAATTTACCTCTTCCCCACTCCTTTACTTTTATCTCTACTCACCAACTCATAAATTTCTCTA